AGTGTAGAGAAAACTGGAAAAAACTGGCTGAAATGGTTGGTTGAACTGGTTGGAATACAAATATCCTGGCTGAAAAACATTCGCGACCGAAACGGGTTCAATAAAGAGTCACTTTTAAGAAAAGTCAAAGATAGAGATGAATTTGCGGTAAATATACAATCTTAATTAATGAAGTCAGCACTAGAAGAAGATATGGAATACCGAAATCAGAAATACGGTTTAGGAGATACTGCAGTAAAAAATATATTCATTCAAAATTATACCCAAATTAGTTGGTAATAAATAACATCCTAAACTATTACTTTCTAAAATATATACCAAATCTGTTAAGCCACTTCAAAAACGATGTTAGTCAAACACTCAATCACAATAATTTCATTTTTACTGTCACTTATCGTAAAATAGAACAGTTTTCAAAATTCAATACACACTTCAATTAAATAAACTTTGAAATTTTATTCTTAAAACGTTTCTTTGATCATATGCCAACTCACTAAAAGACAAATCAAGGCCGGACAATGACATTTAATTGTTACGTCTCATTCAAATTAGGATATTTTAGATTGCTTCGTTCATATCAACGTTAAAGTTTAAACAAAAAAAGAAAAAGAAAACGTAGAAACTGAAAAGTGGAATGCAGTTTTCGTCCCAGCCTACATATTTCCCTTAGTATTTTTGTTTTTAGTGTACCTACTTGTGAGGTTGTTATTGTAGCACATTGTTTTTCATCAGCTTAAATAGCAACAACCCCAAATCTGTTTATTATTTCTAAAAATTAAGAGAATACTGTAAAAAAATGTAGGAGAATGTGGGTGACTTATCGCCCCATTTGGTATTTGATGTCGGCGGTTTGTAATTCATTTATTAATCAGAACTATTTAAAAATTTCTTAAATTAATGACTTATTTCATATAAATTATCATTTCCCTTTCTTTATGCAGTTTTACATTTATAGTAAATACCAAATAATTTTAGAAAAAAATCTTGAAAGATTCCTACTCTGTTCAAGTTATTATCCTATTGGTATTTATTGGACTTTTTATCAAGCTATTTATTATCGGATTATGAAAAGAGTGCATTGGAATTCAGAAAGTATTTAAAATGCATTTTGATAATGGCGACATCTTTTTCTTCAAGATCAAGAAAAATTTTGCAGTTGGCAGAAGCTGCTTATATTTATGGTAAGCAGAATGAACAAACTATTACTGAATTTAACTGTGTACTTATTTAGACCTAATAAATGTTATCACTTATAGAAGAATATGAAAACTCTGTGAAAAACTCTGTGAAAACTATTACTGAGTTTAACTGTGTACTTATTTAGACCTAATAAATGTTATCACTTATAGAAGAATATGAAAACTCTGTGGATGACTACTTAAATACGGAACTCATGGACTACCTAAGCTCTGACGTCATAATGGGTAGAGATTTTAAAAACTTTTCCAAACATTTCTAATTTGTGAGTATTTGTCCCATAAGAGGTTGGATATAATTGTTAGATTTTAATTGTTTGAATAATAGATAAGGACTTTTGGTTCTGGAATAAATAAGGACTAAGATATTTAGTATGAATCTTCATATTTTTAGGTTATGTTATGGTTTGATTAAAACTTTAATTATTTTTTACTGTATTTCAAGGTATTTTGTTTTCATCTGAGTTATTTAAAAAATTAATTAATAAATAATTGAATTTATTTACGAAGTTAAAAAATATTTAAATTAATGTTTTAATCTTTTTTAAGTGTTAGAGACTTTATCCCCTAAAAGACTAAATATATTAGTTTTCTCGTAGTTAATAGTAGTTTTGTTAACATTACTGAAAAATTCAGTAATACTGGATATCTTTATCACATGTTTACTAGCCATTATATACCCAGATCAATATATCGATATACATGACAAAGCGTACACCTTCTAAAAGTAACACGGAGAGAAAGGAAGAGGAACTAATGAAAAAAATGAAGAAATGATGAATGAAATAAAGCAAATAAAAAAAGAACAAATGAAAAATAATAAACAACTACACGAGATAAAGGAAGAAAACAAAAAATTAAAAAACCACGTGAAACAATTTCAAGACAGAATGAAACAACTGAAGAAAACAAGAAAAAAGGAAAGTTTGATTATATCGGTTTTAAAAGTAGATACAAAATTATAATAAGAAACTAAAGAAAGTATGGAAACACGCATATCACATAAACTGTAGTCGCAAATGAAACTGAGGAATGCAACCAAAATAGCAGAAACAGCCTATGCCCTAGAAATAAACAATTTCGGATAGAAATTGAGATACTAAATAGAAAAAGTAAGTTGAATTATCAACAAGATCGCATCTACATAGATAATGATCTGACAGCAAAAGAAAAAAAATACAGAAAGAAATAGTTAAAATAGCAAAGGAAAAAAAGTAAAGAAAAACAGACAAAAATAGGCTATAAGAAGTTGTTTGTGAATGGAACGAATGGATATGGGATGAAGAAAAACAACAACTAAAGAAAATACCAAAGAAATATTGACAAAAAACCAAAACGGCAAGGCAAAGGAATACGACATGAAAAATGGAAAAATAAACACAAAAGAAAGGCAACAATCCAAGAATATATTAAAAATTGGGACTTGGAATGTGAGAGGTACTTATGAGCAGGGAGCTTTAAGAAACTTGGACCAAATCATGGAAAAATATACAATAGATATACTTGCCCTGCAAGAAACGAAACAACTAGGAAATGAAATATTAAAAATAGGAAAGAGCACACTGTTCAAGAGTGGGGGAACCAAGAAAAATTTTTGAGTGGGATTCATAGTGTCGGAGAAAGTAAACAAAATAGTTGTAAATGTTCAACCAATATCAGACAGAATATGTTACTTGAGAGGAAGAGGAAAGTATAGGAAGATAAGTATTATTAATGTACATGCGCCCACTGAAGATAAAGACTTAGAAACCAAAACAGAGTTCTACGAAAAGCTAAGCACCCTAATAGGGAATATACAGAAACACGATATAAAGATAATCATTGGTGACATAAATGCTAAAATCGGAAAAGAGGAAATATATACAAGAATAACAGGGTGACAAAGTTTACATGAGGAATCAAATGAAAACGGAAAAAAGTTAATAAAATTTGCTACAGAGAACAAAATTAAGATAGCTAGCACAAAGTTTGATCACAAAGACATTCATAAGGTAACATGGACTTTTCCGGATGTAAAAAAAATAAAAAGATCATGTCAATAAAGCATACTTGTCGGCATATCGATTGCAGAAGTAAGGGGCAGATACCAACAGTGACCATACACTAATAATAGCAAAACTAAATAGCTTTTATTATTATTTTATTCGCCTTTTAATAAAATGTTAAGTTTAGTCAATATTATTTCTGATCTCACTCCCCTTTCTCTGTAATATATTGGTGTACCATCTTTGTATAAACCAAATATTTAGCCTTAAGTTTGATGACAATTCTTCCAATAAAACAATAAAATCATTTTATAAAAAATGTAAATAAATCTCACCATTCAAATTGCAAGGTAATTCGCATATCTTTTAAAATTCATATTTAAAATGCATGTCCTATGGTTTGAAACCATTGGTAATTATTTTTACGGATATGCGAATTACCTTCCAATTTGAATGTCGAGATTTATTTACAATTTTTATAAAATGATTTTATTGATTTATTGGAAGAATTATCATCAAACTTACGGCGAAATATGTGGTTTCTACAAGATGGTACACCATTACATTACAGAGAAAGCTAAGTGAGACAGTAATTAAATCAACTTTCCTGAACGTTGGATTGTTCGAGGTAGTCATATTCTTGTCGTGAGATATTAAAATAATTATTTAATTCATAAAAATTTCAAAAAATTACTCATTATTATATTTATAACACTTATAATAAATACTGCAGCAGTTTCTTTAGAACCAATGATGCTATTTAATATGAGACGATATTTTATGGAATGTATTGACAAATGAATTAAAGAAAATGGTGGACATATTGAACACTTACTTTGACAAAAAGTTTAATGTTATTTAGTTTAATTATTTCTTAATTTGGTTTGCAAATAAAATGTTTTGATTATGACTTTAATTTAATACAAAACGTAAAATGTTTGATGTAAAATCCAATTATTCTGTTATTTATCAAATCCTATTATTTTAGTCCTGCTGATATATTTATTTTATTTAATAATTCGTTAACTACTAACTTTATTAAAGGTATTTTATACCAAAATTTAGAAGTATTGAAGTTTTTCTTTAATTTTCTTTCGTTGCCTAGAGTAATTGCGATAAATCAGAATTTTGTAGTTGATTTCTAAAATGCGATTATCTCGAAAACTGTTGAGTTTTGGAGATCTTAATAAGTATACCGTTTTTTTGTTAAAATAATGTATCTTTAATATTTTTTATTAAAAATACCGGTAACTTAAAGAGCAAAAAAGTTAAGTGCAAATGTATGCCACATATGTGGCATATGTGGCGCTCTCTATCAGCTACATCAAAGTATACATCAAGTTATAATGTCTAATGTTTATTAGTAAACAGTTGTAAATTTTTATACATAAATGTTCACAAACATGAAAGTTATGGCAAAAAATTAAAATTTTAAATTTCCACTTTAACACCCTACATCTTTCTTAATATTAACATTTTATTAAAGCAACTTGACTTAAATCGTAATATTTTAAAGTGTAGAATCTACGGTTTTTTTTGTACAATTACTTAAGGACCACCCTGTATAATGTCAATGAACACACAGTTTTTTAATTTTTATTATATAAGAGAATCAGTTCATAATAACTTTCTCCTTTGCCATTTCCGCAGTGTGTTGTTATAGGTATATCCAAATATTAAATGAATGGAACTCGTTTAAATTAATTCAATTGTTGAGTTACGTTTTGTTGCCTTTAACTCGTTGTGTTATTGATTAAATTAGATTGACAATAATTTTTCTAGACATTCGTCACACAGCCAAATATTATTACTTGATTACCTGGCGTATGAGTTTTATAGTGCGTCCCAAAGATAGGCACTGCTTTTGGTCCAGGAATAGCTAAAACATGTTTCCAAAACTCCTCGTATCTACGTTTACGTTTCACATAGTAAATAATGAAAAGCGGAACTAAAATCGCGAACAACAACAACGACAACATACTTTGCACAATATTTTTTTAGCACTGGATTTACTCCTACCTTAAGATCTTTTATATGGTCTGCTAATTAATGACAAACACTCAGGACCGAAGTAAGGTTGGACGATTGATAAACTAGATTCGTAATATTTATCTTAACGTTTTGTTATTAGTAAATAAAGATTAAATAGTTTTTTGTTTAGTAAAGTAACATTGTTTATGATGAAAGTGTAAACAATTGTACAAATATTATTTTTTAATTTATAAATTCACCTTCCGTGTTTGGATGTAGATCTATTTATGGAAATTACTATAAATTAAATTTGTGCAAAAACAATTGCAAATTACTTGGTATGAACATAAAAGCACACTATTTTCAATTTTTATATAATACTTTAAAAATGCCTTCTTCTTGTTCTTCAGGTTCCGTCTCCTCGCCGATAATTGGAAATCGGTAGGGCGATTTGAACTTTATTCACTGCTGTTGTGGGTTTCACATTAAATGTGGAACCACATTCACTTACACGCTTTTCCCCATTTAACAACTCAGGGCGTAAATATATTTCATTTACCCTCCGTCGGTCGCATATGTATAAAAATGATACAAGCTCGCCAATTTTCAATGCTATTATTGAACCCTAAAGTAAGGAGAACCCACCTTCATAGTACCTTCCTAGACCGGTTTAGTCTACCGCTAAGTCCTATTCGTATCGTCCTAGTGATTGAGTGAGTCAAGTTTAGAAAGTCGAAAACATTTAAAGGATTAACTTCATTTTTTGTAGTTTTTTTCCAATTATTGCTATTTTTTTCACAATAAACATTAAATTTTCAATTTTTAGCTAAAGAAATGTTATGTAAAATTGAATAACGAAACTTTTAACTTGTTATTATTTTTTCTCTAGGATCAATATTTTCCGAATTATAAACGAAAATCGGAGCAAAAAAAAATGCGAAATTTTCAATTATTTTCAGATTTTGTTAAATAAAAAAATTAGCACAGGGTTTGCGACTGGCGCATATAGTGATTATCGATATTGGGCACATCCTGAAGGGATTCCAGCAAAATAAATAGCTTACTATGGAAAATGTCCAATCCAAAACAGATCTCGCTTAGACTATACGTATTCGTAGCGATAAAAATTAATAATCTCTCTAGGTAAAGTACTGAAAATACACGCCAGTACTAAAAAAAATTAGCATGCCATAATCTATAATTAGATCAAAACAACAGGTATTATCGAAAAAAATCGCGTCGCATAAGTGGATACCTAAATAAAAAGCACTACGGAGCAGGGGAGGCGCACCAACCAGATGGACTGACGACCTGAAGGGTGTTAGTAATAACTGAATGCAAGCCGCACAAGACAAGAGATAGATGGAGAGAGCTGAGGGAGGCCTATGTACAGCAGTGGACGCATACAGGTTGATGATGACGATGATAAATCCATAATCTTTCGTTGGAGAAATTATTAGTCATTTTATTCCTCCCAAATTTTCCAAAACAACAAATAATTACCGAAATAAAACAATGCGGGCGATACCAAAAATGTATGGCTATAAAGCCGAGACATACTAAATATTCCCCTATATTGCATAGTCTGGCTGTTATTATTAGTAATATTGCCAGCTACTATGTTGCAGCCACATATTGCAGCAAAATAATTTAAAACCCGTTTTTAGCTGAGTTTGGTAATTAGTGCCAAAGCATTAGTTCTTTTTAAATATTTACGAAAAATTACAAATTTTGGGTAATATCCAAATGTTCAGAGCTAGCTACATGGTCTACCATCAAGTGGAAAAGCGAAGATCAGGAAAAAAGGAACCAGTATCGTTTAGACTTCTATTGGCGCAGACGGACGAGCAATAATAGTCTGAAGTCATAGATAATGAAAATATTAATGTACGTATTTCCTAATTTACCAATCCATATTTTTACCTATATATAGTCCGTCTAGAAAGTATCCGGAATTTTATATTTTTCCTAATTTTAATAGATTTTCTTTTTGTTACATTTTAAGCCAAAAGTGATGCATCAAGTAGGTTGTGCCGATAGTAGGTTATGGACAAAATCGTATGACAACACCATCTGTCAAATATTGTTGTTTGTAAAGAGACTTAAGATTTGTGAAATAATGTCGCAAGTAGAAAAATGAAAAGTGGTGGAATATTTGTATAGAAAGGGTGTCCGAAACGTTAAAAAAATTAGTGCAATTGACTGAACTCGGAAAAAGTGCATTGGATGAGACAATAAAGAGGATAAAAAATGGCATAGATATCATAGACCAGTTTCGTGTAGAACGCGTAAAATTCGCTCGTCAACTATTTAACATTGTTCTTAAGCTATTTTCTTGTGGCATTTAAAATTAATTACTATTTAACTGGGAATAAGCCACAATTAAAGATAAAAATACATTTATTGACGTATTATATTGGAAATTGAAACGTCAATTAACGTATTTTTATCTTTAATTGTGGCTTATTCCCAGTTAAAGAGTAATTAACTATTTAACAATTAAAAATAACTATTAAAAAAAATTTAAATGCTTTAGTGGCTCTAGGACGTCAAAATCCCCGCCTAGGGTTTCGAAAATTAGCGAACAGATTTGGAAATCAACGAAGAATAAGAGTATGCCCAAAAACTGTTCACATGTCACTAAAAAAGCAAGGCTACATATCAAGGAAATCCAAAAAAATCCCTACAATGACACCTCTGCAAAGGCAACGAAGAATAGATTTTTGTATTCGTTTTCGAGAAGATAATTTTAATAATGTCTTTATATCTGATGAAAGTTGTTTCCAGCTTGGTGCAAATCATCTGAAAGTCCTATCAAGAGAAATTGTTACCGTTCAAATTTCCAAATTTCGCACTGAAATAATGGTTTGGGAAGCAATATCTCAGCGTGGTGCTACATCTCTCTGTATAGTTAATGCTACTGTTGATAGTGCGAAATATTTTGACATCCTTAATGGTTATCTTTTAGAAACAAATCATGTTTTATATCCAGAGGGGTGGTGTTTTCAGCAAAATAATGCAAGACGCCATACTTCTGCTTATATTCACGCTTGGATGCAAGAACATGAATTGGCAACAATTTCGTGGCCAGCTGCATCTCCAGATCCTAGCCTCATTGAAAACATATGAGGACTGATGAAGATTGATGTGGAATGAGTAGCGCCGAGAGATAAAGAAGATTTGATTCGGTCAGTTGTACAGGCCAAGAACACCATTATCGAAAATTATGGCCTTGACCTAGTTTTGGGTGTACCTGGACGTTTAGTTAAATGTTTAGATTTAAATGGAGGTTGTATAGGTAAATGAGATGAATTATTTGTTGAAATTTAATATTTCAAGTGATAGAAATAAATACCGTAAAATTATAATTCTGCTTTCTTTTTTCCGGATACTTTCTAGACGGACTATATTATATAGACACCTGATATAGTTATTCAACTATAGATTAAATAATATCTATAAAGAATAACTTTTATTTTGGTTTAATTACTTTTATCCTATCTTATGTAAATATGAAGTTATTTAGCAAAATAACGTAATTGTAAGTGAAAATGTTGAATCACTTGGTGGAAAAAACGTTGTAACCAATGTTACAATATTGAACAATTTTATTCCTAATGAATATTTTTTATAAAAACATTGTAACATTTTATACAATGTTTTCCTAGAAAAATTTATTGAGTAAGTTTTTACAACTTCATTGTTATTGTAGTACAAGTTATTGTACAAGAAAGCAAGATAGTGAAACATTATTATAAATAACATTTAAATCAATTATTAACCAGGCTCTTATCAGGAAGATGACAGGCACAAACTAAATTCTTTATTATATAGCTAGCATAGTGAGCATATCTTAAATCTTAAAAATAACAAACAAAAATAATAACACCTATATACATCATTTATGACTGAACTAACTACTGATAAAAATAAGATACCAAATGTTCTATAGGCGCCATTGCAAAGGAAACTTCTATATGCACCACTTCTATAATACCCAAAGAAGAAAAATCTGGGAAGGGAGGGACAAAGGGATCCAAGTGTTTGGAAAATAAAGAAACTGTGGAACTCTGGTCAAGAATATACTAGTAAAACTAAACTATGTATATGAACTAACTATGAATTTTTCACTATGTAAAAAAAAACAAAATTTGTTTAATTTACTGTTTGTATTTTGAGAACGATTTCCGAAGTGGAAATTGAAACGTCAATAAACGTATTTATATCTTTAATTGTGGCTTATTCCCAGTTTAATAGTAATTAATGTTTTAAGTTAACTTCATACATTTTTTTCGATACAGCAACGTAGCAGTGTCCATGCAGATATGGTCATATGCAAAGATTGAAACGAGTCCAAAAAAGGCTAGTTAAGAAACGAGTTATAAGTCGAAAGTAAATTCTTCTTCTTCTTCTTCCTTTGCCCTATCCGTTTCGGACGTTGGCTATTAACAAGGCTATTTTGACTTTGTTTACGGCACCTCTGAACAGTCCGAACCATTGTCGCAGGTTATGCATTCATGCATCTATCTCCGAAACTTCTCCCAGTGCTTCTCTGAAGATTTGTTCAGAGTATATATTGAACAGGAGCGGCGAGAGGACGCATCCCTGTCGTACACCCTTTTTAATATCTATCTTCCCACTGTGTAAGTTGCCCATCTTTATCTCAGCACTTTGGTTCCAATAGAGATTGGTTATTATGCGCAGATTCTTGCCATCAATATGCATCTTCCTAAGCATTTCCATGAGTTTATCATGTTTGACCTTGTCAAACGCCTTGGAGAAGTCGATGAAGCACAAGTGGACGTCCTCGTGCATGTCTCTGCATCTTTGAATTAAAACTTGCAGACTGAAGATCGCCTCTCTTATGCCTAATGCGCTTCGAAATCCGAACTGTGTCTCCGATATATTTGCTTCGCATTTGTTATATATTCTATTGTGTATGATTTTGGTGAAAACTTTGGTAATGTGATTTATCAATCTTATTAAGCGGTGTTGATCACAGTGTTTTGCACTTGGTGTTTTAGGTATGGCTACAAAAGTCGACAGAAATGAGAAATACCAGCTACTGCAGCTTCTTATAGAGGGAAAGGTAGAAAGAAAACGTGGTCCTGGTAGACGTCAGGCGTCCTGGTTGAAGAACATGGACTGGTTTGAATTCTCAATCTTTAATAAGAAAAGCCAGGGACAGAAATGATTTTGCTGAGGTTATCGCCAACCTTCATTGAAGACGGCACCCAAAGAATAAGAACAAAAGTCGATCGAAGCCATTCCTCCGGAATCTCCCTTTTGTCGTAAAAGGTGGTAAAAAGGCCTGTCAGAAAATGGAGGAAGTGGTCATCCGTTTCACATAGGAGTTTTATGATCTCGCCCTGTATGTTGTCGGGACCTGGTGTTTTGTCGTTTTTTTTGAATGCGATGAAATGGCTTTTTCCACTTCAGACCTCAGTATTTCGGGTCCAGTCATGTCGTCATCTTGGTCCACTGTCGCTCTGCGTTTATCGTTAAAAAGTCGTTCTACGTAATCTTTCCATGTGTCAATGAGCTTCAAGTCGTCTGCGTCTATTAGTGTCGGGTAGGGAGTATTGGTTTTCTTTTTAGTTGCTAATTCTTTGATCTTTTTGTGCCTGTTGTGGTAGTCATATCTACTGTCGCACTTTTCGATTTCATCGCATTTCTCCTTCAGCCAGCGTTCCTTCGCTTCCTTTATCTTTGTTTATATTTTGTGACTTGTTTCTTGATACTTCACTTGATTTTTGCATTTGTGTTGTCTTCTTTCTTCCATCATATCAAGGATTTCATCTGTCGTCCATTCTTTCTTCTTTACGCGCTCCTGTAACAGAAGTGTCTTGTTTGTCATTTCAACAGTTCTTTTTATTTCTTCCCATTTAGCAACTGCGTCTTGTGCGGGTTCACTCAAGTTTCCAATGTTTCTTCTTAAGGATTCCTGTAATTGTTGTTTAATGTTGTGGTCCTTTAATTTCCTAATGTTTATCTTGGTTTTGTTATGCTTAAACAAAGTAAATCCACAAACAGAATTTGAAGACCACGCCGGCGAATAGCGAACACAATTGTTACCGGGCGGACGTCTTACAGTCAAATTTTTCATGTATTTTATTGTGTTCCTATAATTCAAATAAAGTCCTTTTCACATGGGGTTTTTGCTTGTTTACCAGAGGTACATATCGAAGTTTAAATCAAGTAACATTCAAACGGTCTTGGAAAAAAATGAAGATTGAGGAGAGGGCTACACCCTAATCAGTTGAATATGCTGAGAATGATGATGATAAAATACTACTTGTATGAATATTTTTTCTACTTTCTCAAAATAAAACACTTATCGATTGTCTAATAATTTAAATAAAATAAAATAGAGTTAACATTTTCGGTTTTTTTGCTTGGACTTGAAAAACAACAAAGTGACCATAGATTTGTATATAATTTAATCCCTTGGTATAAACTTAATTCTCATTTCACAAGCAGGTCTTAATACGATATCCCCTTTGTGCCGCATATCAGCTGGTTTGGTAATGGCTTCCATTCTGAAGCTTCTTAAAATTCCATAAAGTGCAGCCTTCATTTCCAATTTGCCATATTTCTGTCCTATAAAATAAAAAATTAAATAAAATAAATAATAAAAACATAACTATTCTCCAGAGGCTAAGAAAAGAAAAAGAAATTATTAACACTGTAAAGAACAAAAAATTGGCTTGCTTCGGCCACATCATGTGTAATAATTAGTGGGCGGAATATATGCAACCTTTTTTTGAAAAAATATGCGCATATATTGCATCTTTTTTCATGAAAATATGCACAAATATTGACATTTATTACAAAATGCAATACAATGCAATCCAATATGTAATAAAATTTAATGATATAATAGAAGAAAATAGGGTGCAAAAAGTACTATGTTCAAAAATTGGTTTTTATTTGGAAAAATACACATAGTAAGTAAGAAAACATAGTGAGATATAAATATGTACTATTTTAAAATACAAAATAATATTACAATATTATACAATTTCTCATTTTTAAATATTATAAAAGGCATTTACTACAAAATACTTTTCGAAGTTTTCCAGTAAAAATGATTGTCTTCTATTAGTAAAAATGTATTATGACATAAAAAATGTTCTTTCAACTGACGTAATTAGAAAATATTGAAGTTTTGGTAGTATACTATAAGGCCATGGAACATGTTCCTTAGAACTCTTATTTTGCTAGATATTTTTGACTATTTTAAAAAATTTAAACCCTTCATTCTTTGTTAAAGTCACTTCCGCTTTGCGCCTTATTTTGATCTCCAACTTTACCGGGAACATTGGCACACTTAGCCATAAAAAGTTTTAATGGTACTAATGGACTCTCTTAAACTTAATTGTTCACCCTCTAACGATATGATCGTAATCTGGTATTAAAGCCAAAATTTAATTTAATAAAAAGTAAATCTTTAGCTACAGTTACACTTTGTAACAAGTCCTTACATTGAACTAACACTCTGAGCGTCGTCCTCCATGTCCAAAATGAAGTCTTTAATGGCATCAAAATGTTCAGCGTAGAATATAGCAGCGGTAATCCACGTTCTTCATCTGGTAATTTCAGGTTCTAGTGGTAAATTAACTCCAGGCAGTCTCTCCTTACACATCTGCACTTTTAGAGGGTCTTTGATGAATACTTTTTTAATATGTGAAACTAGCTTATTTACTAACGAAAATTGTATTCTGATGGCTTTTGCTACTCGGTTTATCCCGTGCAGAAGACATGTAACATGCACCAAATTGGGATAAAATACTTTAAAAAAGTTCTGTCCTACTTTTACCATATAGGGTACGGCATCAGATAAAAGCACCAACAAGTGGCAATAAGTTTGGAAGAAAAAGGCTTGATAGAGACTGCTGTATTGATCTGAATACCGTCACATTATTGGTTTTGTCCAACTGCTTCGAAGCTATTAAGTATGCATTTGTAGAATGATTTTCTTGAAGTGCTCCAATCATTAGATGTGCGGTATATCTGCCACAATCATCGGTACTTTCATCCACAACGATGTAGAAGTTTTTTTCGCCAATTGAAGATTTTATTTCCTGAAGAACTGTTTTGTAGACCGAATAAACGTTTTTCTTTCTGATGGTCGACTCATCAGGAATGGTTTGGTTGCAATGCCTCTATAAAAAACTTCTAAATTGGGGATGCTGAAGTTTTCTTAGTGGTATGTTAGCTGCCATTATAGTTTTACACAAGTCTTCTTGAAAAAGTTCATTATCCGACTTCGAGTTTACACCCACGGTTTTGAATTGCGGTTTTAACATTTTTGCAAACCTTCCCGATATGTAGCCCGGTTTTTAAATTCTGATTCACTTGAAACTTATTTTGACAAACGATTATTTTTAAACAGACTTTGCAAAAAACTTTTCTCCACTAAATTAACGGAAATACCCTTAATCCACGTATGCAGTTTTTACTATTTACGCCATTTTTAAAACTTTTCGACAAACTGAAATCCTAACCTGAGTCTAGTTATGCCTAACCAATATTTAATGTGCAAACCAAGAATCGTATTATAAGATCATAAAAACCTGCTTAAAATGGTATGGGATTGTCCATTTTCTAACAATAGTAAATTTATTCACAGATACAGTGTCTCATTCATTATTATAAAAGTCTTTTAGATAACAGTAATAAAAATAAATAGTCCCTTGTATATACTCTATTATTGTCTAATGACCAGAGTGTTCCTTAAATTCTTCGAGCTTATCAGAAGGAACTGTTAAATATAATTTTTGGGTGTAAAGATGATCATAATATGCAGGTAAATTAAAAATGTTCTCAAAATATGCATATTTTCAAAACCTAAAAAAATATGCAAAATATGCACGTATATGCAATTTACATATCGCACCCTCAGTGCAAGACTGCAGTAACTCAAAATTTTATGAAAATGAAGTAATCATGGAATTCGATTATAAACATGCATATCTATCCTCTGTCAAACTTTAGTAACTTTCAAATGCTTAACCGGCTAAATATTGCAACAACAACAGTTTAACTATTTTGCGTTTTTGTACATAAGTTCCGTGCAAAAACTGTTGTAATTCTAATGTAACAGAGTTACAACAGTTTTGCACGGAACATTGCAATGGTTTCGATATCAAGCAATGACATTCACGAAAAAAGTAAGATATTTGTTATTTTAATATCTATATCTGTGGTGTTTAATTTTAATATACAGCGTGTCTACGTAATCCCTTAACGGCCGAGATAACAAACAAAGATTTACGAGACCAATATATTCATGTAAGTTTTATGTCCTTTGTGTGTCATTATATTTTCCATAAAATGTGTGCGATGTCGTTTGACCATTTATTTATTAGATTGGATTAAAAACACATAAATTAAGACTAATATTATTTACAGCCAAAACTATTTTTTCTTAAGAAAGGAAACACAGTTATCTTAAAATTTGTGTATTAACAATACTGACAGGTTAAAAATATCTATATTTAGAAAACTTGTTCTTTAAAAACTAAATCCTAAATTATATTAAATCTTTATTTAACCTTCCAGTAGTTTATAGTGACAGCAAAAGTGCTTTAAGTAAAATTACTGCCATAAATCCTATATCAAAAGTAAATTACGTTGAATTATATATAATAAATAAAATTAAAGAACTTTAGCAACAAGGCAAAACTGTTAAGATGGCATGGATTAAAAGACATTGTGGAATAACTGGAAATGAGATAGTAGATATATTGGCAAAAAACGCTGTTACACAAAGAGTATTAACTTATTATCTTTGTACGTCTAGAGATATATAATCAGACACGTTCAAAGAGCTTCTGAAGGAATGGAAATAAAGGTATATTAATGAGAATATAAATACAGGAAAGCATTACAGAGCAATCAGAAACCATATTACGCATAAATCTTGATTTGCTAAAATGGAGTCGACAAAGGATATGACAAGAACTATATGCAGAATGAGATTTAACCACTGTCTTACACCACCATATACGTTTAAAATGAATCTAGCTGATAATCCACAAATGTACTTGTGGTCAGATTGGTAACCTACAACATAAAATTTTAAAACTGTTCTCTTATTTCCAATAAGGTTAATAATTTTTTAAATTCGCTGTATTCTTTGACCGATGTCCACCATCCCATTAATTTAAGTTATTTAATAACATTAGAAAATAATGAGTTTTTATATAGATTATTGTATAAACATGTTTTAGATATTAAACTCAAAATGTAATTGTAAATATAGAGTAAGTTTTGTAATTTGTTAAAAAAAAAAAGAAAAAAAAAAGAAAAAAAAAATAAAAAAAATAAAAAAATAAATAAAAAACGTTAATTAAAAAAAATAATAATAAAAAAAAACTTTAAGAAACAGATAAAAAAAAGAAAAAATGAGAAACTTGGACAGTCCACATTAAAGTAGCTATCGAATTAAGTAGATAGCTGCAGAAGAGTTTACTGTAGAACTCTGAGGCCCTCATCACTGATTTTTATATATAAATAACTAAAAAACAATTAATAGAAAAAAAAACTATATATTAGTGATTAACACTAGTAATAGTAGGATTAGTATTAGTAGGAATTTAGTATAAGATTATATAGGAAACAATGAATAATGAAAAAATTACTACAAATTGTAAGATTGGCGAATGGATTTAGTGTCCGCAGTCATTTAAACACAAACAAACAACAACAATAACCTTCCAGGGCGATTGTCTTATCATATTGTCCCCGTAATTCCCAACTTTTACTAAAGTAGTGAATTTCAATCCTTTTGTAAATCACTGTACTCAAGGTAGCCTGATTTTCATATGTTTATTATAGTCCTTTTGTTTTGAATTTAAATAAAAATATTGAAAGTTTTACAAATAATTTGTCTTCCTTGTTATGACATTGTCATTACAAAACGAAGGAATTGTGGCTATCAGAAACATGTGCCGAGATAGAAAGATTAAATTGCCGCTAGCGATAAGCCATTTTATTAGGTACCTATTTATTCTAGGTAGCTATTATAGGCTATAGGTTTCCTACATAGTCCGGGAAATGGAAACAAAGGACTTCATTGATTTTAAACATGTCTCCTTTCTATTGGGAAACAACTAAAAAATTGATCAAAATAAAGAAAATGTGAAGTGGATAGATATGAAAATTCTGCAATGTAGAAAAGAAAGTCCGCACACAATTTTCCTTAAGTACAACTATGATGACGAACTATGGAATTCTTTTAATTTAAAAAAATCATCACGGACTACACATAATATACGAGAAGTGCTACTTAAACCTGCCTACAAGGAACAGCCAAAAATTTAAATGACCAAAAAGAAAGATTTGGTATAGGTTATTCCACGAATATAGGACTGTTTGGAATTATTGCTACAACGAATATTTTACTGTACAAGTAGAAGTATGAAAGTAAATTGGTCTAATTATTATTCCATAAAAAAAGGATCTTCTGTTACTATTGCATATAAACTAAAATTATTTCAGTTAGTAGATATTCAGATAGACGCAAAATTTATTGTGAAAATTAATCCGAAAATAACAAAAAAATTTACGTAAACGCTCCTACAAATAAATACAAT